GCCAAATTTCCCATTGGCCCTTACCAATCATGGCCTCCTAATAATCCCCATCTCTGAACTGGCTTCATTACTCTACTCTCCTCCCCACTGAGAGCTGATGTGTGGTGAGCGTTCTGGCGCACTATGGCTGCCGTCGCATCATCCAGGTGGGGCTGCACATTGGTGGTGGTGGAGGGGATCCCCATTACTTTTAAAGCGCTTTGAATGGAGTGTCCAGAAAAACGCTATATAAGTGTAAGCAATTATTATTATTATTAATGCCATGATGTGTCTGTGCTGTGGCAGCGATGGCAGGCTTGGCCGATTGTGTCAGGTGACGCAGTGCATCTAGGCCTTAATCCGAAGCTAGTGAAGGACCAATTAAATTGTACCCTTGACAGTGTTCTCAAAGCCAGCATTCCACACATGAATGGCAGCTGCCTTGTGGTGCTCCGGCTTCTTTACATCAAAATCCAAACATAGCTTTGATGCTGCAGGCATGCATCCCCAGACATATTTTTGAGGAAGATGCACTTGGTCTACAGACCAAACCAGACAGCGCCTCTTGTGTCAGCTGAAGAGGTCACATAGGCACCGACCTGGGACTGTTCATGAGTGTTTTTGTGTAATAAACATGTCCTGAAGCTGGAAGTTTTTTTGATGTCATTTAAAGATTCGTAAGCTCGTGTGAAGCAGTTTGTCAAAGCTGGCACAAACAGCTTGTTGGAAAAGTGCCTCCAATTTGAAGCATGCTATGGAGTTCTGCTTCTCACACTTGTTAAGCAGTGGATCTAGATCTCCTTATATATCTTTTTTTTTCCCCCAGAGTCCTCAATATCACTTCAGGTATCAGTTAAACAGGCAAACAAATCTCTAAAGCACTGGAGGTGTGTTTTCTGACTAGTCAAGGTCAGAAGCAGTTCTACCGGTCTGGGTTTTTGTTTACTGCATTTGTACTGCAGGCAAACTGCTGCTAAATATAATAACTAACATTTAAATTCAAAAGAGCTTCCAAGCTGGTGCAAAGGGAACAATAGAACCACTGAAAAGTACAATGCTTTGTGCAGGAGCTGTTGACAGATGGTGCAGTAGCTCAACAGTGTGGTGAAGCAGATTTGCACTTATGCGTTGATGTGTCCAAGGAGTGTCTATGTTGTCCTTTTTGAGTTGCAGGGATAAAACATTGTTGCCATGTGTGGGTCTTACTGCAACAAAAGCAGATTTTGTTCATTTTCTTACCCCATTTGCTGTGCGCATGAGACATTACTCCTGAGATTTATTACTTTGCTTAGCTCTGTAAAAACACATATCCCAAGATTATGGTCTTGTCCTAAGAATTGCGTAAGTGTCAGTGCGTGCCCCTGAAGGCTGCCCTGCCCTGATAACCTTCCAGCCTGTGCCTCTTTCTAAACGTCAAGTAACTAGTAGGTATGACTGAACAGAACAGGGGTAAAAATTGGATAAAACTGACACCATGTGAAAGTTAGCAAACACATGTAGTATCAGGAATGGAAGTTGATAATCGGGTGGAGTGTAATAGTCTTAAACACAGACTACAGTTGCCTAGTTATTTGATGGAATTTAATTTATTTGAAATGGCATCCATGTTGCACACATTACCTACTGTTGAATAGATCTCATGTTCAGCTTGTCAAAAGCATATCTGTACACAGTTGCAATTGTTTTTAATTATGTACTTCTTAATTTATTCAGATATTGTTATCCTGTCATCATTGCTTTGGGAATTCTGAGATCATTGTTGGTATTTAATGGGGTAAAGGCACAAACAGGAAGTGGAATTATATCCAGTTGTTTCTATCCCCACAGCCTCCTTCAAGAATAAGTAAAAACTAATGCCCAATGTAAAATAAAGTTTTAGAAACTGTTCTCAATGTGTGGGTCATTGCTGTTTTAAGATTAATGTTATAATAGTGAAGCGCTTGACCATTTAAAAATCATTATTTTTAAATTTTCCCAGAATAGTTCATTTTTAATTTAAGCATTTAAATCTTTCTTTTGTTTAATTATTTGAGTAATAATACTAGCTGGAATATGTATTTTATGGGAAATGTTGTTGTTTTGCTTTGCAACTGGTTGTTGTTTTTACATGTACTAATTTGAGCAATAACAGCTTAGCTTTTCCCATCCATCCACTATTGGAAAGGAGCCTTTTTCTGGCAGGGATCAGGGCAAACCTACCAACAACTCTTCCATAAGCACATGGCTCAAAGTGGACAAAATCCAATGTTAAGTAGAGTTTCCCTTCTGTCTGAAAGGCATAGTGCAATTTGACTGTAAAAGGGTGATTTACTTCCACCAGTATGTCCCATTCCATTTTTGGATCGATCCCTCACTTTCAAACACATTTTCTTCAGCACTCACTGGACGGGCAGCATTTTACTGCAGGACACACGCAAGAACATGGGGCTAATACAGAGATGCCATCATATACACAGCATCTCTCCAACCAAATTGTTCTTTAAGCCTCGTCCCCTTTCTGTTTTAATGGCAGGGTTTCAATGCCAGCTTGTCTCGAAGCACCCCAGTGAACATGGAGCCTTGCGGTGAACCTGACTATCACCCTGGTGTAAAAATACTAAATACCTTCTGTCCTTCTGGGTGGGAAAAGGAAAAGATTCCAGAAGTAAATTGCTCAAGCCACTTCTGTACCAGGCTTTTCTCCCCCTCCTCAGGGAAGTGCCATGCCCTGCTATAAACTCCTGGGGCAAGCGAGCACAGTACCTCAGGCCTGCGTTATTCAGGTGCTGTCACACCACCACCACCAGTTCTGTGCCTGTGGTCAGAAACCAAATTTTGTAACACTGTTCCCACCCAAATAATGTGGAAGGTTAAAGTCTCGACAATAAAAAACATGCATCTCTTCCGTTGTCTTACTGCGCATGTTTGCATAAACATCTCGATACTGTTACTCAGCTAAATCTAAATTGGAATAGCATGTGTTGCAGCAGAAATACCACCCCCTCATCCCCATTACGCTCATAAACTCTTTCTCTGCAAGTTTATCCAGTGATTCACACACAAACCTCCTGCGAAGGTGCTTTAATGAGCCGTCTTTATCCTGGGCCGTTTGCAATGTGCTTTGTGAGTTGCTGAAGTGCACTGCCTAAAAAAGGTCACATATTTCAGGCTGTGAATCTCAACACAGTGTGACGTTTGTGTGTCACTAACAAGCTCAGCAGGCATGGTCCCCTGAATTTTTCAATCTGGCGTTGTCTCAAGGCTACATGCGAAACTAAGAGAAATACCACAAAGCTCAGTGACGCATAGTTTTGGCCTATTTGCCTAAACACATTAATTAAAACCAGCAGAACATGAATTTCCACATGTAAATGTGTGAAATCCCCAAGAATGATTAGGATCCTGTTTTGAAAGCTCTCAGTTTCCAGTGTTTAGCTGCAGGCTGCAAAGGTATCTTGCAGATTACAGCCCAGTAGATGGGATTGGAAAGCAACAATACTTGCACTTAATAATATTGCTTAAAGAGCTATTAACAGAGTAAAAAAAACACTAATGGGGTCACTGCAGCCCTATTCCAATTCATGTTTTTTTTAATATACCGTATGTACTGAAGGTTGAAGAGCTGGTTTATCTGGTCCCATACTGTTGATTTATAAGGAAACATAACATGAGTTGTTCCGTGTTCTCACTTGCTTTATCTGTTTGGCAGTCCAGTACTCTGTTTCAGGAACAGTCCATTCAGGTCTCTGTTCTCTGTCTCTGCTCTATGAAGGTGATATTTCTCCTGGTTGGGTTTACTGCAGCTGAATTTGTGTTGCGGCGTAAAGCAAGTGCAGGCCTATGGCCAGTCTGCAGGGCTGTACATGCTCTGTGCTGAATGTGAGGCTATGGACTTGTCTCTCTTATCGCAGCACAATCACACTTCCTCATTCCTCCCTGGTGACACACCGCCCCACTCTCTGCTGCATGTTCAGGACACATTCAGCCTCCACACCCTCTAGCTCTCCCATCTTCTTGTTCCTTCTCTCGGTGTCGCCCGGCAGACACCCTGGAGATCAGCTGGAGGTCTGCAGCTGCTGATGAGCCTCTCGATGTCCAGCCTGATCTTCTGGAAGAGGGACTGACACCTGAACCCCTGGAAATCTGATGATCTGATATGCCAGTGTTGGGTGAGCTGAATAATTTTTAAATGATGATGGAAATTCAAAACATTCTACAGAGATTTTTACCAGATTTATTTTCACTGCTGTCAGTCTTCCTCATATAGGGTTGTGGCATAAGTGTTGCTGTTATTCATGAGGATGGCCAAGATCCTCATGATCATTGTCATCAGATGAGTGAGACTTCCCGACTGAAGGTTGTCTCTTACATCTCTCAACACTTGAAGACAATACTCGTGGCCCTCCTATTTAAACATTCCTGAAAATTACACCCATGTGCGTCACTCACAGGAGCATTTCAGGCTACTAGAGATCGCAATGAATAGTGCTCCTCAACGTACCTCTCTAATTTTGTAATTGATTGTAGTTTTGTACGGCTATGTCTGTGTATTTAATTTGCCCAATCATAAAAATCCTTAGTTCTAAACAAAGCCTTATTATGCACTTTGTCTTATTTATGATCTCTAACAAATCGCAGTGCTGACGCTGGATGTGTGGCGAGAGATGAAAACTATTTAAATGAGTGTTTACGTAAAAATGTTTTTCCTGTAACTGTAGTCCCTAGTGCCTCAGGAACGTGTGTGTGTGTCTGTGTGTGTTCAAATCCGTACACATCCTAGCCTGTCGCTTGCTGTAATTAATCACTAGGGCCTCTGCAACTTGAGGGGCTCCAGACTGCTAAAAGAAACACGGGGGTCTGTGTTTTGTTCAGTCATGTGTCAAAATATAAATAGCTCGATTTAAAAAACGTTCTGGTCATGAAGTTCGAATTTTGATCCTGAAGCATGAATTCATGTCCATGTCCTGCTTGCTTTGATTTAAGCTAAGCCAAGCACATGGAGCTTGTTTTTGTCTTTTCCTCCGATCTGCTCTTGCTCTGGTGTGACACGGAGGATGAGAAATGCAGATGAGAAAGAGAGCAGTTGTTCACAGACAGTGAGGTCCACTGCAGTTCTGACAGGGTTGTGTACTTCAGAGTGTTTTGTACCTCTAAACGCCTGGAAGAAGGATGGGTGTGCACATCTGGCCAAGTTGCATCTGTTTAATTTAGTCCTTGCACTTTGTTATTTCACGGTTGTGAATGCACAGTTGTCTTTGTGCATTCTGTTACAGCAGGGCTCTGTACCTTTCCTGCAGTGCAATTCTGTAATCCTGCTGGATGGATCGTGTGGGCAGGATGCCCCCCAGATCATCTGTCCCAGATGCCATGAGGGGACCCCAGCCTCAGCCCTGCAATCTGCGGAGAACAGCCTGCACAGAGAGAAGGGAGCAGCCCCCTTTCTGCACGCTGCCAGAATGAGGCGGTTCTTCCCCACGGCGGCAGTGTTCCTCTGTCTCCTCTGCTGCAACGTCACACCCTCGGGTAAAGCAGCTTTGCAGTGTTTTTCACTAAAATAATTCCCATTAGAGCTGCTGGTCCACACACACGCTTTCATACTGAACTTTGCTTTTTAAAGCTGTTCTGAATGATGTACAGTGCGAATAAGGCCTTGTGCTTGGCCTGAGATGGCGCAGTTCTTTGTGTGCTGATGTGCTGATTCTGTGCTCAGTACCTGATGAAACACAGCCTCGGGAAGTGGACAGTTCCTGAGCTCCTGTCCCTCTCTTCAGCAGGCGGGCTCTCTCCCCCAGTGAACCTGAACGTGGCCATAGTGGATTTCGTCAGCCAAGTCCAGTGGACCCCAGGACTAGGGGCCCGCCCGGGCACTCTCTACTCCTTACAGATGAAAAACACATTACTGGGGTGAGTCCTGCAGAGACATTGACTTTACTGGCAGACCCAGAAATTTGGAGCTTTGCCTGGGATTAGCAACAAAGCAAGGAAACCATAAGGATTTCACTCACTCAATCAGGGCAGGAGTCCCAATTTCTTTGCCTTTCAGTAGTGACTCTTATGGGTAATGTCTTTCGTGAGCTTTTTAGTGATGGTGGGCTGTTGAAAGCCCAAAGGCTTTATGAGGACAAGTGCAGGAACTCAGATAAATCCATATCCGTTATTTATATTTTAGAAAGCGTGGCTCTAAAAGTGTGCTGGAACTTTTTCTTTCTCCGGGTTTTTCTTTCTAGCTTAAATCAGACGTGGGAGCAGGTTGAAAACTGCACTGCCATCGAGTCAACGAGTTGCAGGCTGCCGCTGTCGTTTGCCGACATCTACGGGTACTTCTTCATCAGAGTGAGAGCCACCTGGAACGGGAGAGACTCAGACTGGTCCCAGACGAAGCAGTTCCAGCCCTACAGAGATTGTAAGGGTCTTCCCCTCTTCCGTAGTCTGTCGCTTACTGTAGGTTAGTGTCTGCTACAGGGATATCCGAGAGCTCTTTGAAATCCCAGTCAAATCTGGCTTCTACTCGTAGCCCGACCCTGTGTAGCTGAAAGAAATTGTGACATTAACACACATACCTATTTGCATTTTGGTTTTGGGGGGTTTTCAGTTTTTTCAGACTTGGGATACACCCCTGTACAAGACATGAATAAAGACCCCCTCCGCGGACACCCCTGCCTGTCAGAGCTGTTTGTCGCTTGGCACACAGCGCCTGACAGGAGGGGGGGACATCTCTCACTGACCTCGCTGTCGCATGCTGGTCACCGGAGTCACTGTTACAGCAGAACGTGGCCTTGGCAGTGCCCCTCTTTGCATTTACAGCACCACGAGCAGAATTCCATTTGCAGTTGGATACTACTACTGCTGTGCTACTACTAATAATTTATAGAACTTTAATTTAACACCATATGTAATGATAAAAAAACAGTACAGAAATAAAATACAATTCGTAAAAGACAGGCCCCAGTAAAAATATGTTTTAAATTTTAGATATAAAAACAGTCAAAGAATCTGCCTCTTGAAGAGTCGCAGGAAGGGCATCAGAGCAGTGAGAGATTTAGTCCCAGGTACACCGAGCAGTGGATCAGCCTCATCTGACCACAGCCTTCGGGAAGCTGGGCATACATGAACGAGTTCAGAAATGAATGATGGAGCCAAATTATTCAGAGCCTTATTTGTCAGTATCAAGATATTTTATTGAATATGTGACTTTATGGGCAACCAATGATGAGATTAAGGGCTTGACCTGTATAAAACTGCACTTGTTCAGTCTGGGGCCACTCCTTTCTGTGACTCCTGCACTCCTCAGCAGTCCTCACAGCTGTGCTTTGGTGCTGGACAGCCCTCTGCAGGGCTTTCCTGTCCCTCCGTTTTCCCATTTTTATTTCAGTGGGAGACCTGCAGAGTTTTTGAAGCAGGCATTTCTTTACTTCTTTTTGTTGCTGCTGCATTGCTAGATGTTGAAATAACTGAGGCCTTGCAGGACTGAACTTCCCATTCTCTCTATCTGTCTTGGCAGCTGACATGAGCCCCCCCATCACCTCCCTGTCGTTTAGCGAGCAGTCCATCTCTGTGCGCGTTCACCACCACATAGCGCCACTGTGGAGAAGCCTGCAGTATGTCATTGAGATGTATGAAACCAGGAAGCCAAAGACAGTGCAGGTAAGGACACCCTGGATAAAGGCGTCTGTTCAGTAATGAGCTGACAGTGATAATGCTAGTCAGTGTGGTATGGAGATGCTTGTTCTGTGTTTTATAACTAGACTGGTAGAGACATGGGTTCATCTCATTACTTTCATTACTTTTAATCCAGCTCTTAAAAGTAAGTAAGAGCTAAAATAAACTGTTTTTGTCTGTGTTCAAATATCGTTCTACAAGGACCTGTGCAGACAAGTTCAGCCACTGGGTTTCTCTGCTGTTCTTGCAGCTGGAGTACCTGTCGAACGTCTCCGGGCAAGCCATGCATTGCTTCGAGGGACTGATCCCACAGTACCGCTACTGTGTGAGAGCCAAGGTCATCGCCCACACAGAGAGCCCGCTGTCCCCTGAGAAGTGCATCTCACTGCCCAGCAAGAGTGCAGGTTAGTCGGGAAAGTCTCCCAGTAACATCCCAGTAACATCTGTTTTCCGTACTTCCTTCCCTGCCTGCAGGCTTTCCCAGTCACCCACATCTCCCACATCTGGAACAAAAGAGATTCTCTTGCATTTAAAACCAAGAACAGGAGATACTTCTTCACCCGAAAAGCGAGTGTGGAACAAGCTGCCCAGCCATGTGGTTGATGCTGATGCCTTGGCTTCTTTCAAGGATCAACGTGATAGAAAGCTCAATTAACTAACAGCTAGTTGAGTGGCCTCTGCTCGTGATCATGTTTTTATGACAGACAGTCTGTGTGCTAAAGGCTGTTTGTTGAGCTACAACCAGTGTGTTTGTCCTGCTGGGTGTCAGCCCGTGATGTGTGAAGTGGGAGAGCAGGAGGTCCTGTTTGTCCATAGTCGTGCTGTACTGCACGTTCATCCTCTCTGACTTACAGGCGATTCACATCTGGGTTTGTTTTCTTGCCCGCTACCCCAGTCCACAACTGGAAAATGGTGAGCGCCGTGAGCTGTGCCCTCCTCCTGCTTGCCTTCCTGGCAGTGACCTCCATCCTGCTACTGTTGTGCTACCTGCGGCCCAAGCCTTCGGCGTGCCAGACACCCCGCACACTGGTATGTCATTAAGAGGCTCACTGGCTGCACTGCCAGCAGGTGGCGCTAAAAGGGTTTTGTCCTGCTGATAGGGTTCTTCTCTGTAATGGAGGCTTAGCTCTCTTATTTCATGAGGTGAGCAGATCACAGAACTAGGACTAGGAGAGTGGCAAGCTTTAAAATATGCAAGTTTATAATATCATAATATGTGAGGTATGTATTTGTTGCATGTGTTCAATTGGAAAATCATAGTCTGGCTTCTTGACACAGCTATCCTTTCGCTTAAACTGTTTTTCCTACAAGGATTCTTCTCTGCATTTAAAAAGAAAGCACGTTGCAGCAGTGTTATCAGCACCAGTAATAATAGCATCCCCATCTATGAATTGGCTTCTTTACTCTGCTCTCCTCCCCACTGAGAGCTGGTGTGTGGTGAGCGTTCTGGCACACTATGGCTGCCGTCGCATCATCCAGGTGGGGCTGCACACTGGTGGTGGTGGAGGGGATCCCCATTACCTGTAAAGCGCTTTGAGTGGAGTGTCCAGAAAAGCGCTATATAAGTATAAGCAATTAATTAAATTAAATCTCTTTTGTGACCAGATGATTTTCAGTGAGGATCCATGCTGGAGACAAAACCTCAAGAATGTGGTCTGGAATCCGAAAGGCACACTGGTATCCAGCCCTGCAGTGTCTGCATGGCACTGTTCCACTGCGCTGGGCAAGTGGGAGTCACAGGATGATCAGTTCCCCTCTGACGCCTTGGTCTCCAGTGAAGTGCCCGATTCCCCCACCAGTCTGCACGTGTACTGCAAGAGGTGCTCGCTGTTCCTGGCACAGGGAGAGGAGGAGCCAAGCCCCACGGAGAAGCTGGAGCCACAAGAGCCTCCAACCTCTGGACATGACACAGATGAACAGGAACTGGGTCCTAGCTACAAGCAGGAATTTGGGACTGATGTGGCTGGACAGCCATTTGATAAAATCTTAGAGGACAGTGGGGGCTTCTCTGAGCTTCCTAGTTCCAATCTGCCTCTGGATCATGGACCTGCTGAAGGTGTCCGACCCAAGTTCAGTGAAATCTACTACAAGACCGCTGGTGACTGGGATACAAGTGCCAGTGGTGTGATGTATGGCGACCCACAGCTCTATATCAGTGTCCTGGGGCTCTGTCAGGAGGCCTCAGAGGAGCCTGTTTGCGCCCCTGCTTTGGTGGAGTCAGCAGCCTATGAGCAGACCCTGCTGGGCACAGCTAATCGCGTCTTGCCCACTGGGTATGAATGGCGCCCAGACCCTTGTGCACTTTGATGTAAACGGACACTTGTCCTGTCTCACTGTGACAGTTCCTGCACGTTCTGACCTGGTTTGATACCTCCTCCGCACCTTGCAACTTCTCAGAGCAGTTCTCAGGGCATGGTCCTTGTCCACTCTTGAGGGCATGTCTGCTAGATAGCAGAGGAGCACCAGAATAGGCTGGCAGCCTCCTGCAGCTGGATTAAAAGCGATGAGGTGAACCTATGTTGTAACATCAACTGGACAATGCATTCCTAGCCAGGAATTCCAAGTCTTAATAATCTCTGACTACTAAATAAATCACTCCTACCCTGTATGGTAATGTGTGTGCTAGTGCTTTAGAGACAATTCTTTGCAGCTTTAGTGCTAGCTGCATTTATCCAGGGGGTGAGTGAAAGAGGAAGATTTTTTAGGGGACCTGCCTGACCAAGTCATTCCTCAGTCTGTCTCACTTGGACCTGAGGTTGGGGTCACACATGGGCATCAGACTACCTCACACCCATTCCCCCACCAGGCACAGAGAGGCAGTGGCACAAAGCTTGGACAGATTCCCACCCAGGGGACAGCCAGGGCTCCCAAGACAGGAGAAAGCCTTTAGAAGACACTGAGTGAACCTGCTGGCACCATACTGAAAATTTCAGCGTACAGCAATTGCAACACATTCATGTTCAGGTTGGGCTCAAGCACTTTTATGCGATGCATTTTAATTCTGGGTGCTGTATTGTAAATGTGGTCCCCATGGGAGGGCACAGACATTGTTGCATCTCTTCAGAACACTGCACACAGCAGATACTTTCTGTGGCAGACGTATTTCTTTCATGCAGCGATTTGGACAGCAGCAGCTCCAGCAGGAAGCAGGATTGCTTCCTGATGTTGTTGCTGAATATTTGCATCAAAGGCCTGGATTAAGAACAGGCTAGCTACATAACAGAATACAATGGGGTGGAGACTCTAGACTTTGTCTAACTATGTCTGGGTTCCTGCTTTTTCTTCAATGGGCTCTGGCTCCTGAGACCCAGCCTGTTTGGAGCAGTGGATCCTCAGCAGGTGAAATGGGAAGACTAGCACTGGCGTCTGCAGAGCAGGACCAGTTGGCTGTCCTGCAGGCCTTTGAAGAAACATGCTGCACTGCTTGGAAGTAAAAACCTTTCCCAGCAGCATAATTCTCATATAGAAATGAGAGGTAAACCGCGGTTCTTTAGTCACGCGGTACATACCATGGTGCGTTTTAGCGCAGGTCACTCAAGCTGGTGCTAATCTTTTCTGAAGCTCCCCTCTCTGTCAGGGGCCCAGTAGTACCAGTCCAGAGCTCTTTGTTTTGTGTTTTGTCAGAATTCATGGTGTAAAAAAACGATATGTGAAAGGATTCATCCTGTCCATGTGACTTGTGCAGCTAGGATCTATGATCTTCTACTGTCAAGTAGGAGGTTCACGGGAGAGTGTTCTGTTTGCTCATAGATACAGATCAGACCTGACAAAAATGTTACCTTCTGCTTGACGGTGCTTTCGTGTAATGAAGAGATTTACATCCCTGCTGCTGTAGGAGGCTGCACATTGCCTCGTAGCCCAGGGGGCCTGGTGAAACTGCCTGTGCACAGTACATAGATATATAGATATATGTAACTGCCTTTGCTACCTCTGGCTTTTTTCATGTGTTGTTTTATTTTTGGTGCACCTGTTGCTTTGCAGTCAATAGGCATCCATGGTAAAGGGAAAAGCTCCATGTTTTACTTACCTACTGCATCTGCTACCTGCAATGGTTCCAGTGAAAAGACAGGTGCTCGTGTCTTGGCAGACCCTGTCTTCCCATTTTTCTCTAGGTCTTTGTGCTCTTCCAGACCCCAGCTTCACTAATGGACAGTTACACATGAGGATACGCCATTCGGCCCATCTGGCTACTGTCATTGATCCCAGGATCCTGTTGGTTGCCTATCAGGTGCCTCTTCTTTCTTAAGTCAAGTCAAATTAAATGAAGTTAAAAAAAAATGTGGAACAGAAGGTTTTGGAAGAAAACATTCTGCTTGTTCAAAGCAAAAATTGGATTCTGAATCTTATTTTTTTCATCAGTGTTTTTTGTGTTGTCCGATAGCACACTTTTATGCACTAGATTTTATTTTCCAGGTTACTGTTAATTTGTAAAGAATGTTTCAATTTTCAGTTATAAATATTGGCTGTGTTATTATTTTTGCTTGTATCTGTCTCTGTTGTCTTTGGTATTGTTTTACACTAAAATGTTTTGAGATTGTCAAATAAAATAAAGATTATTTTTTAAAATAGCCACCCCCAAAACATAAATCACTTTCCTTCACAAACTTCAAGCCACTGTTGTGCTCCAGGTCCTGCACTCTTAAAGGAACGTCTAAAAATGGCAGAAGAGGGGCGAATGTTTCCATTGTCAGTTATAAAAATTGTCCTGGTTTCTCAGTACTGGGGACAGCCCCATAAAAACACAAATGGGGCATTTGTCTCCATAGTTCCTTTATGATTGCAGCACCTGCAGTGAAGTTCCACTGGGGTTTCAATGAAAACACAAGCATTCCAAATGAAGAAATGAAGAAAGTGCATGTTTCACATCCTATAAGATGATTTCCACTGAATTTGACGGTAACCTCCCTGTTGTCTTTGTTTTAACCTCTCTGGTACTGAGCAGACTGATTGGGTTCTGTCACAGACTGTCTGAGAACCACTGCAGTGAATGGCGGCGCAGAGCAGTACATTGCAGTTACACAAAGCTCATCTCATATTAATTATCACATCAAACTGCCAAGCTGTTGGAAACAGCATAACCACCTGTTACCATATCTGACTTCAGAATTGCACCTCCGAAGTTCCTCTGTTGTGGCAGCGTTACATCATTCAGCAGGGAGTGATCTTGTTTTGGAATATGGTTTTCTACGATACAACCGGGGCAGGACAGCAGTAATTAGCCTATTTCAGCTGACAGCTTATAGTGGCAGATAGTGGCAACTAGAGGTCAGGATGTAAAGGTCTCTCTTGTGTAAATAGATTTACATATGGTTAATTACATAATTGGTGAAGGGCTGAGAGACATTCACAGATGGGTTTAATCTAGAATAGTTTGGTATAGAAAGAGATTCCCGGTAATAGCTGGTATTGGGTATTGCTAGTAGCTGTTATTGTGTAGCTGGTATTGGGTATTGGTAAGTGAGTGTACTGTATATATACTGTATACTAAATGTATATATTCTAGAGCTTTTCTACAATACATTCTCGTTGCACTGTTCTTCATGTTCTGAGCATGTGCTCATGCCTCGTGCCGCCATCACAGAAATATGCAGGAGCAGAGTTAGTAATCACAGCTGAGAGGTGAAAAGCTCTAAATACAATTCTAGTGAAGGAATGAATTGACTTGGGTATCTGGTTACATACATTCTGTCCTTTACTCTCTGAATCCCAGAAAGCCTCTCTCTTTCCCAAGACTTCAGTGTTCAGATCCCTGCTGCTGTTGTCTTTATTGTAAGGAGTGTGACAGATTTCCATTCATTCTGCATGCCGTCCCGCACCTACCTCAAGAAACACACTTTAACCAGTGTTGGAGATTTTATTCAGCTTTATAGAGAGTGGAGGACGATTTTGCCATATGTACATGAGCATTGGAGTTCTTATATAACTATACATCTGCAAAATACTTTGTTCTACATATAAAAATATTTTTAGATAAATAACATTGGCTTCCATAATATTAATAAATTGTGCAAATATTTTCAAGGGTTTGGAAGAATGTGAGGTGGTGCTTGTGTTTTTTTTCCCCTCGGATCGGTTGTTTTTCCCTTTTGTCAATGATAACACAAGGTACCCTAGAAACCGTGACACCATCTCTTATTTCACCCAGGTGTTTAACAGACTGCCACACAACAAGCAAATCCGGGGATTTTAGTCTGATTCTAAAGTTGTAAGTATGAAATCAGCAGGATAAGACCTTTTTTTTTCCTTGTTCAAGTGGCTACCATTTTTGAGGTTCTCTGGTTTGGTTACTGCTTAGGTAGTCTTGGTTCAAGCTGCAACAGTTTCTATGCGGGGAAGGGGAAAATAAATGGGGGTAGCACAAGTCTCTGAGGCTCATTGGTGAAGCACTGTTAACTTTCTAACATAATTTTCTACTGCTTACATTCTCATTTCCTTTTATTTCATCCCCGCTTTCCTTGTTTTTTCCCCCTTATTTTCTGTCCTCTGGTCCCCGGTGCCTCTTCCCTTTTCCCTCAGCTCTTATTGAAGAGGGAGGAGAAGAAGCTGCCCGTCCCTCTCTCCTCTTCCTCGCCTCTCCTCGCCGGCAGCCTGAAAGACCTGCTGGTCCTGGCGTTCCGCCTGATGGATGCCCTCTTCTCCCTTGCTCTCTCCTCCTCGCCCTGCGACTGCGAGCGCACTTGTTGGCTGATGAGCAAACTCATGTCCTCCTTAGAGGGAGAGGAAGAGAGTCAGACTCTGGATGGGTTGAAAGAATTTGAAACTGCCAGATCAGCTCATTGGCTGTTAGTCGGATGACAAACAAATGCAGGTCAGCGCCCTTTTCATTTCTCAGTAAATCACAGTTCCTGTTTTTGTTTTTTTTCTTTAAGACCAAACATTGTGTAATCCTGTTGAAAGAGTTAGCCCTGAGAGGGAATGGAGGACAAAGCAACCCCTACAGGCGCGATGTGTTTTTCTGGGTCTTTCACCACCTGTAATGCCCAATGAGCTGAAGTGTGTCACCAGAATTGTCAATATAGTTTCTGCAGATAAAGCCTACTGACTGCTGTTATTTTCTAGTGGTATAAAACCTTTACTATTATTAATCCTAATCAGATGGTGTAGGGCCATGTTCACCATGCTATACCAGACAGCCCTGAATGAACACTGTTAGCAACAGCTTCCTTAACAAAAGTCTGCATCAGGCCTTGTGTGACATACAGTACAAGGCTGAGCCACACCCCAGCACTGTGGTGTTTGGTTCTGCTCTGGTTTGTGTCAAGCGTTCTCTCGGTGTTGCTCACTTCGTGACAGAGCTGCATGTTGGGAGTGTCACAGACGTGTGCAGGAATGTCAGTGGAATTTGTTGTTCATGAATTGTTTTCAAGAGCAGTGCCCTCTCTGTACCTGCCAGGCCTCCAGCTCCTGAGACAGCGCCACCTTGTGACGGATAGTGTTGAGCAGCTGCTGGTTGAGGGAGTCTCTCTCTTCTCTGACACGATTCAGATCCTCTTCTAGAGCACTGGAAGGAGTAAGGGAGAGAGAGCTCTTTAAAATGGTTTACTCTGAAAAGATGTACTATGCCAGAAAGACTAACTGCAAGTCATCTAGATGATCTGATCTAGGCATCTAGATCTAGAGACTGAGGAGTTTACCAATGTTTAAAATATTAAAGGACTCCTAAGGAATCTCATTCTTGCTGTTGTTACGTACAATTCAGACTGAGTATGCTGAAACATCCCTGTGACTGGCTGTGTTATTTATGGATTCTGTGTTTTTTACACATATTGCCATAAAAGATATTGAACCTAAAAATCAAGAGTCATGTATGCCAAGGAACAATTCCACTGTGTTTTTATACATTCATTAATTTTCATTTTTTCATACATTCTCTTTGGCTCAGGATCGTCTGATTTTGCGACAGCATGATGCTTGATTTCCATGATTGTCAGCTCTGGTTCTGAGCCAGGAAGGCGGAGCCATCTTGAATTCTGTGCCTCACCACAGCACTGCCGAACTCAGAGCCCCTGTCTCTGTCCTCTTGTGTCCTTACCTGTAACTCGGCTGCTCAGAGAGCTGCTTCACTTCCTTTCTCAAAGACTCCAGTTCCCTCGCTTTGGACTCAAGCTGAGGAGATAGTAGCGAATCACAGTGTGAGTTGATTTTAATCATATAAGTGATGTCTACAGCTGGGAGTTCAACCCACAACCATCACGTTAGTGCTTCCACTTCACTGCAGTGAACTTCAGCTAAATCCTCTTTCTCTTTGTATCAATCTGTTAGTTAAGCTGTTGCTCTTAACTACCCTGTAGGGTTATCTCTAAATCCACAGTAGTTTTTTCAGAATGACACTGGTTTTGGACAGAGGACTCCCCATCGATTGAAACATCTCTACCATTTCTCAGTCATTAGGCCCATGACAAGACCTACTGTAGTTTTTGCCCTTTCCTCATCCTGTGATGCCATTTACCCTGTTGTCCACTTTATATGTCCAGGACTCTCTGGAGTTCTGGTAAGGAGCTGGTGGGGACTAATAATGTGGTTGAGGTTCCATGAAGAGGAAGATAAATTATTTTCAGCAGTGTGATGATCTGACATCAGTTAGAGGTGAGCTCACACTCTGCAGGAGGACTGGGAAGGGCTGTCTCCAGTACAGGACAGGCTGGGGAAGGCTTTGCTGTGATTGTGTGCTTCGTTGTGTGCTAGAGATGGAGCCCTCCTTGGACAGGAAAAGGCAGGGAGAGGGAGACAAGTGCCCCGGTTCCTCAAATCATGAGTTTAATGCTTGAGAGAAGACCTGACCTCTTCCTTCAGCTGATGGATTTCCTCCTCCCTTTCTCTCAGGTTCTCCACTGGGACAAAGCTGCTGTCCTGTGCCTGAAAAAAGGACATTTTTTATCCTTGGTTAACGGTAAGATTGTTAATTGTATATTTGCCTCTGCAAAATGCATTTTTTTGCTTGACTGATTATTCTTGCATGAACCTTGAGAAAACTGTACAGTGTTTTTTTTAATTGTAATGATTAGTCACCACAGTAGATACATTCATTGTTTCTCTTTGCCAGCTGCTTTTCAGTGGAAGAAATGTCAAAGGGAAATACAGGTCATCACCTCCTCCAGCCTGCTACTCAGGACAGCTCTGCTGCAGGCTCTGTGTTGACCCTCGAATCATGAGTCTGGTTTCTGCGCACTTACTCCCTTTGCAAATTAATGCCGACACCCAAATTGCAAACCCTGGGCTCAACGCAGTAACGATCCGCGTCCAGCACGGCGGTTACCTGGGTCTGCTCGATCTCGGACTTCAGCGACCTGGCCAGGGAGGCGGGCTCCGCCAGGCTGATCTTCTCCCCCAGTGCCTGGACCCGGCTCTGCAGGCTGTGGTTCAAAGTCTGTAGCTCGAAGGCCTCGCTCCTTTCCTGGGCGAGCTGAGCACACACACACACAGAGAGAGAGATCCGCAGCCGGCTTGGTTACACGAGGCCAGCGGGCAGCGAGGTAAGTAGTGCCACCTCCTGTTTCAAAGCCCAGCGAAAACTGCAGCGAATTGCCCGTCACTTCGGCCAAGTCTCTCTCCGCAGGCCTGAGCTGCTCTTCCCCCCGCCACCCCCTTACCTCCCTCTCCCGCTCCCGGTCCCTCTCCTGCAGCTCCAGGACTCTGTCCCGCAGCCCTGCGCTCTCGGCACACAGCCGCACGTGGTCCTCCTGCAGGGCCGCTAGCCGCCGCTCCCCAAGGGCGGCCCTCTCCTGCAGCACGCGGTTCTGAGAGGTGGGGCAAGAGCACGGCGTGTCATCCAAGCAAACGTGCAGGAACTGCGCCCTGCACCGTCCCCCTCCGGGCACAGCTGCACGGCTGCCTGATTTCACCATGCTCCGGTGCAGACTTACTAAAACACCTTGAGAAAGACTTTTTCAATAGCCTCTTTATTAACAACACATGTGACATGTCATTACCACCTTTCCAAGGCAAATAACAAGCACGTTCGTTAAGTACTGCATTGGAAACCACTGAGAAATAATATTCTAACAATAATGGTCTGTTTTCTGATTATTTCATGTGACGCCTAGGACACATCAACACATGAGGATCCCTGGCTGACTGCGTTTTTGACCGTGAGGGCTGGGCAAGAGCCCTCTGAGAGCCAAGGGAGAGGTACCTCTTTCTGCAGATTCTCCACCCTGGCAGTGCTGACTGAAGAGCTCAGCGTCTTCTCCTCGTACTCCTCTCTGAGCGAGCGCAGCTCTGAGCGCAGGCTGTGCTCCACCATCACTGCCTAAGAGAGACGGGGCGAGGAGGTGAGTGTGAGGGGACACACAGACAGACAGAGGGAGACACAGAGACAAAAAGACACAGGAGACCAGACAGAGAGCTCTCGTCTCTTCAGTGGCAGAGATGCCAGCCTCACTGCAGAATTAGCTCTGATGTGATTGTGAATTTTACAGCGTGGAAGGAAAACAGCAAAGTTCAACACACGATGGCCTTCTGAAGGCTTTTTTCTCAAGGGAAACTTAAGTGAGGAATCTTTTATCATACAGGCACCGCGTGTAACATACTGTTTCACCTTATGTTGGCACCTAGACATGTCTATTTCACTTTTAAAGCTACTTTTATCCACAGTTCTATGTTGAAGATATTTTCTCCCAGCAACTGATGTATTTACAATAGCACAAGGATCAGTTAGAGGGCAGTATGGTAACTAGACAATGATAGAAAAAGCAAGAACTCCCATCCTTCTGATCCCAGAGTGCTGAGACAGGCTGGGATGTTCCTTGATATCTGTGTCAGGTAGAGGCGTGGCATGCTAATCCGCCTTCACAATAGAGGGATCGGCGTACCGGCGTTTAAAAATATTGCGCAAACCCTGTCGGGCTGCATTCCAGTGGAATGAGGAGGTCACAGAGCAAGGGAGACAGAAGAATGAAGAGGGGCGTAGCCATAGAAACACACTGTAGGCAGAGCAGATCCAGTAACCAGATATACAGTACACAGCATCGTCCTCTACACGTCCTTTTGAGAGAGCTTTATAGAGCATTGTGCAACAATGAGCCCCTGTTCTGAAGTCGTGAGAGACGAGTGTGAAGAGTACAGTCTGTGGCGTGCCCAGGTCAGGGATGTTAATCAAACATGCACAGGAGCTGTATCACTTGGTGACACAGACAGATACTTTATACACACGTTCCCATTAAGTAAAATGCTACAGATCAAAGAAAGTGGGATAGATGAAACTTGTGCTGTATATTGGATTTTTAAGAAGGAGGGGTGCAGTTAATTTGCTACTAAGTGTAGCTCTAGAGGTAGAGTGAATTGGACTGTGAGTTACAGATCTTAACTCTTCTCAATGGGTCCAGGGATCTCCCAGCCCTGGACTTCACCTTGAATGCACAAAGACAGGTTTCTAAAACTTATTTAATTGTTCAAGGCTTCAATTTTTTTTTCCCCAAAAGAGACTTAAAATTTAGACAACATAATGAAACTGAATCGCTATAAGCATTACTTTTATATTTACTGTTGGCAGTGCAGGCATCTTTTTTCATTTTTTCCCCAAAGTTCTCAAAGTGACATCGACTTCAGCAGGGCAAGTAAGCTTCAATTCAATTCAATTCATTTTTATAGCGCCTTTTACAAGGTTGTCCCAAGGCGCTTAACAATGCAAGTGATGCAAGTGACCACACATTGTGTGAATACAGAACAGGACCCGGAGAGCAAAGAGAGTGAGCGAGAGAGCCGACAGGTCACCTCTGCCAGCTGCTCCACCAGCTTCTGGTTGTGACTGGACAGCTGCCCCAGCTCCTGGCTGCCCTCTCTCCTGCGCTCCCGGTCCTGGCTCTGCTGCTGCTCCAGCTCCGCGCGGAGGGCGCCGAGGTCGGCCTCCAGCTCCGCCACACGCTGGGCCCACTCCAGGCCGCTGGCCTCCAGCTGCCGCTGCAGCTCGTGGCGCTTCTGCTGCAGCCCCTGCAGGAGAGGCAGACAGCGTCAGAGCCGAGACCCCAGCCAGGCAGATGGGACCAAACCCCTTCCACGATGGGCTTGTATGAGACAAACACTGACTGCTATCAGGGCTCTGTTGAGGGAGCGACATGTTGTGGCAAGACCCTGAGGTGAAGCACTACTGAATTTCCTCTCAATCTGAGTATTCTCTATCCCAGAGGCTGGCAGCTTGTTCACAGCGCTGGATTGTCCACAGTGGAGAACACATTTGCACAAGTGAAATCAAGCTGCAGTGTAATATTATCTGCTGCTATTGCTTGGAAGGGGGCACAACTGCTGTCAGGGCCAGTTCCCCAGCTATGTCATGAGATTTAGCTGATGGTAAATGTCAGAAGTGCCCCCAGGGTATCTGAGACTTTCTGCTGCCGATTTGCTCTCCAAGTGTCAATTTGGCAAAAGACAATGTAGGTGTGAAAGAGTGGAGCAAATTTTACAGCTTCCACAGTTGCTCTGTGAGTGGCAGAGGGGCTCCATGGGCGTGTAGCATCATGACTGGGAGCAATGTTCACTCACCTCTATCTCCCTCTCCTTTTCCTCCAGCTGAGCTCCCAGTTGCTCATTCCTCTCCAGCAGGGCCTGGCCTACCTCGGCCGCCAGGATCAGGTCCCGCTCCAGCAGGTGAGGACTGGAGTCCTCCTGTGAGGCGGCGTCCAGCCTGGAGGCCAGGCCTGGAAGGCCAGGCACCAGCAGGGACTCTCGAGGTTGGGAGGAGAAGGGGAAGAAGCCCTCCTCCAGGAGGGGAGGGGGCAGCCTGTCTCTCCTGGACAGAACCTGCTCTCTGCTTGCCCTCGCTGGGTCTGAGCCCCTCCACACCACATCAGACATGGCAGTAGCCCTCAGGGTGTCCCCACCATCACAGCCCAGCACCCAGCACTGCCCCCTGGTAGTACACAGCTGAAGTGTGACTCCTTAGGACCGCTCGTGAAAAGCTCCAGTTTTAGTAACAGGTGGTCTCTATTCAGCATCAAGGCTGGCTTGCTCTTTTAGCAATGATTAATGGTAGATAGAGATGGCAGATGGTGACTAATGCTAGACAGGATGGAGCTGAATCAGTGTTTGCGCTGTGAAGAAACAAATTAGAGGTTAATTCCACATGAAAAGAAAATAACAGTTTTGACTACAAAACATTCTTTATCTGTCTCACCTCTTTGTGTTTGTTGGAGCTATGAACCCTTTCTCAATGGCTAAGAGACAGTGTCAGCAGTTATATCCCTTTTTTCTAGTTGGATTTCAAAGGAATTCTAGGTGTGTACACTGGAATCTTTTATGGAATTCTGTGTTCTGGGTGGAATTCCAACTCCAGGCACTGTGGTCTGGAGAGAGGTGTCTCTGTGAGATAGGAAGACAGCAGTAATTAATACTTGCATGTTATATGAGTCACCCCTCTGTGTACCTGCATTTCCCCCTTTTAATAATGGACTACAGAGTGACGAAGGTTTTTTTTTTTAAATAGAGTATCATAAACAAATTAGTTAAAAATAACACAGCATAAACAAATAAGTGACATTCATGTCTGTTCACAAACTGGTTCACAACCAGCTAGTCTGAGAGAATGATAAGAACATTTTTTTTTCTTAGCATGGCATTTGTGCTCCCTTTTTTAACCTCACTGTGTGTATAGTGAAGCAGAGGCAGGGAGTGATTGCTCACGCTGGGTGAGTGGCTTTACTGCAGTCCTTCACTGCTCGTCAGCTGCCGGGCATTCCAGCAGCCATTCAGCCAATGGACTGCACTCAGATTTCTGGTTTTTCCTGCTGCCCTGGCCGGTGCAGAGATTGCAGAGCTTGTTCAGGCGCACCTGAAGGCTGGGACTGGCAGACCAGCTCAGCACAGGCACTGCACCTGGGCTTCGGGCTTCAGCTGCCTCCCTCTGTAACCTTCCGTGCTTCTTGACTTGGGTTTCCTGACGACCTTCACGGGCACGGTTAAATCCTCATGAACCACGCTTGGTAACACGGCTATCAGAGACCCGTTGGATGGCAGTACTTCAGGTACACTTCCACCCCCACCTCCCCCCTGCCCGGTGGATGCTGTACGTCACACGTTCAGTCAAACACCCTTATGACACGCGAGGACCACTGAACACAACTGCTGTTCAATTTAATTGAAATTCATGTCCTCCTACCGTCTGACTTCCCTGCTCTCATCTTCATTCTCTCCAATGTAAAATCAAATCAAGTCGTTGTCTCACTTGTAAAAGTTTTTTATCCAGTGTTTCTCACTCCTCTAAACAGCAAACAACATGAACCCCTCTGGTTTCACCCTGCTGTGTTGCACCTGTCTGAGGTTGGCAGCTCTTCAGCCTGGCAGTCCGTTCCCTGACCCCCTCCCATTCTCCCGTCCCTCTCCCCCGCGTCCTGATAACCTACGCTGCTGTCTTTTCCCTTCCAGGATTCCGCTTACCTGAGAATCACCTGCTGGGCTCCCTTCTCTGGACTCGCAGCTTCTGTGTCACATTTCAGTTTCTCTCTGTGTCTCGGTCTCCCAGCGACGCACGCCCAGCGCCTTCATTCCCCCTGTCCCCGGGGGCAATTCTCTCTGAGCTGGGCAGGCCTTGGACACGCACTCACAAGCACGCACACACACTCTCCCACGTGCTCGCACAGGCCCGGCCTCCTGCTGCTGCAGGTGAGTCAGACAGGTGCAGCGCAAGCCACACAGGTAGGGCCCTTGACATCTCCGTTACCAGGCCTCTGTTTTCTTCCAAGATTTGGCACGTAACCTAGGCGTCATTCACAAATCGAAGCAAGACTGTGAAAGGTCAGTCTTCTGGCTAAAACATTTGGTTTCACACTTGGGTGCAGGTGTTTTTAAAAAAGATAGATAGATAATACTTTATTAATCCCGTAGGGAAATTGATGAGTGAGATGTTGAGTAGAGAAGAGGGTCTTTCCTGCTGTCAACAGTATTGCATACAGTATGTCAACCCTTGCCTGAATGAAAACAGGACATATGAAAAGATTTCAGAAATAAAACAGCTTGATCCCAATCTTTACAGGCTGGATAATCTGAGATTTCTTTTGAGTTTGTCTTTGTGCTATTCTACGTCCTATGGTCATATGTGGGTGATTTGCATGAACACCTATTTTGTGAAAAAAGCAAAGGTTTGTAAAAAGACTAGTTTATGTGAAAGTTATGAAATTTTTTCCTTTAAAATGTCTTTAAAAATGCAAAGCTATTGACAACAGAATATTTATGTGTGGGGAAAAAAATGGCATAAAAACGACAAACTGAAGGCTGTGAAAACATTCACAAATCACTTTATGCACAATGCTGTGCAAAACCTCTAGGAGGTTTTGTGAAATGCTATTGACATTCCAAAATGAAAATCGAACTTTGAGCTAACTTTACCACGGTCCATTGAAGCTACTATGAGTTGTCTGATATTATGAGCTGTACTAGTTTTGAAATAAAGAGCATATATGCCGCATATGAGTGACCTTTTTTTTTTTTAGATCTGAGCTTATGACATCTGAATTAGATGCATTCTCTTATCTTTTTTTCGTTATGTTACGTCCCAGTGTGTGTTCTGTGTGTGTTTTTTTCTTTTTTGTCCACACTGCTGACTCTTGATTGTTCTCCCTTCCCCATTGGCCCACCATAACACCACACTTTCAGTATGACGTCATCATCAATTAGCTCTCAGCCAATAGGAACACATCTTATTCAGCATATAACATGGAGGCTCTCAGCGAGGAGAGGCCTTTTGTTTGACTTCGGTCCTGTTTGGTTGTGGTTATTGCTTTGGCTTCGTTGTTTTGTTATTCTTTGTGTGTGTGTATTTTCGTATAGCTTCGGCTTTGTTGTTTTGTTGGTTTTCTGTTAGTTTCTTTGTAGTTTGGTTGTTTGTGTTTATCCTTGTTTTGCCATTACCTTGCCTAACGTGTTACATGTTCAACTTTTGTGTACTTTTGTACCCTGCTCCTGTTGACTACTCTCATTTTCCCTTATTTGTATTCCTAGTTCATTTGTGTTTTTGTGTGAACTTTTGTGTATAGGGTTAGTTTAGGTTGTTGGGTACACTTACACACTTAGTTGATTTTGTATTTGTACACTAGTTTAGTACGGGTGAGTGCCATTTGTCTTGTATGGTTTTGGGTAGTCAGTGGAGGTTAGCTATGGTGTTGAAGACGCCGAAGACAGTGTGTTTCGGGTTTTCTTTTGTAGTTAGGCCAGCTTCCCTCACTGTCCTAGCCAGCTCCATTTTGTTTATTTTCTTTCCTTTGGCACCACTCTAGTTCCTTACCCTTATCACGCTTCCTAGTCCCTCACCAGAACCCACCTGCTTCCAAAAGAATTATCCTAAACGTTACACCCCTTTACCCCTAGACACTTGGGGTCGTAACAGTATTGGGGGCTCGTCCGGGATCTCAAATTCACGTCCTAAAGATTTTTTTGGTTGCAGAATTTTGGTGTTGGTACTTTTGTGTATTTTAGGACTGGTACAGGATTTTGATTTGTGGATTGTGTTTTGGCAAGGTACTGTAATTATGGCTACTTTTGATTTACGAAAGTTTGTGGAGGAACCTTCCTTTGAGCAGCTGGATAGGTGTAGGAAGGACGAGTTGTTCCAGATTGCAGATCACTTCCGGATTCAGGTTTCGACGCAAGCTCTTAAAAGGGACATCAAGAGCTGTGGTGGATAGGCTGGTGGAGTTAGAGATCTTTGCACTAGCGAGCAGGGACGCCGGTTCTCCTGGGCCTGGTGCTAACCCTGCTATGGTGGTGGAAGAACAGGGGGTGGCTGAAGACTTAGACGGAGACGGAGGCTGAGGTCAAGGCCACATTACCTCGCTTTGATCCGTTCTCTCCAGTCTCCACCGGGACAAAAAGCGAGACTCGCCTGAAAGTTCGTTTGGCCCGCTTCCACGGGGAGGCGCAGGAAAAAGCCCAGGTACACGAGGCAGAACTTGAATTGCGCCCTGCAATTTGTAAGATGGAGATCGAGGCGGAGAAAGAGGTTAAGCTCCGACAGCTTGAGCTAGAAGCACGAAAGAATGCTCCTGCTGCGCAGCCGCCCCGCTCCGAGCCCTCTAGCGTGTCTCCTTTGCAAGATCCACTCTCTACCACCTTTGATGTAAGTAAGCACATTGCTTTAGTTCCTCTGTTTAGGGAGACGGAAGTTGATTCGTACTTTGGTGCATTCGAGCGAGTTGCCACATCACTTCGTTGGCCTGAGGAGGTCTGGTCACTGCTTTTGCAGTGTAGATTAGTGGGCAAAGCTCAGGAAGCTTGTTCTGCACTTTCTCTGGAAGAAAGTTTGCATTACGATACTGTGAAAGCTGCAATCTCACGGGTTTACGAATTAGTCCCTGAGGCTTATAGACAACGCTTCCGAAATCATCGTTAAGTGTCAGACCAGACTTTTGTTGAATTTGCTAGAGAGAAGGGCGCTCTCTTTGATAAATGGGTTGTAGCCAGTAAAGTCAGTGAGTTTAACTCATTGTGTGAGTTAATGCTCGTAGAAGAATTTGAGACTTGTTTGCCCGAACGCATTGTTGTGTATTTGAATGAGCAAATAAAAACTAATTTATCGCAAGCCGCTGTTCTTTTCAGAACAGGTTAGCTTTCCCTCACTGTCCTAGCCAGCTCCATTTTGTTTTTCTTTCCTTTGGCACCACTCTAGTTCCTTACTCTTATCACACTTCCTAGTCCCTCACCAAAACCCACCTGCTTCCAAAAGAATTATTCTAAACGTTACGCCCCTTTACCCCTAGACACTTGGGGTCGTAACACCTTAAACGAACTATATTCTCTGACCACAGGATTAGGTGACCTGCGTGACTGAGTAGGGCTATGATGCCACCAGGAACCCTCTCAATGCGCAACATAACATTGTTTTAATCAGCACATCCACACATATGAACAAAACATATTTGGCTATTTTGATGGCTTTCCTGAGGTCGTATCTGGATTTTTTTTGTATCTATCCATATCGCCAGAATTGAAAGCAGCTGTCCTGACTTTAAGTTTGGTGCGAATCTCGCCATTTACCCACGATTCCTGATCTGGATGTGTGCGAACAGTAATCCTGGGAACCACGTCTTCAATGCATTTACAATGTAACATAGTCCTTATACAGATTGATTTTTTTTTTCCGGCAGCTTCGCGGAAGATCTGCCAGTCAGTGGTAGCACAACAGTGACTTAATATAAAATCCAATTCATCCGACCAACATTGAATGGGTCTTAACGCTGGCCTCTCCTGTTTAAGATCCTGCTTGTAAACGGGGAAGTAGCAGAATGGGGGCGTGATCGGATTTGCAGACAGGAGGTTGGGGGAGGGCTTTGTAGCCATCCCGGAAGGGAGTGTAAACATTGTCCAACGTGTTTGTTCCACGCGTCAGGCAGTTGATGTAAATTAGGCATTTTCTTCAAGTTCGCCCTGTTGAAATCACCCGCTATGATGGATGTGTATTCTCGTGTATGTTAAACTAATAGTGTAGTTCATCCAGTGCCCTTGTGAAATTTGCCTGCGGCGGAATATACACCACTGTGAGAACTACCGATGTGAACTCCCTCGGTAAATAGAAAGGGCAACATTTTATTGTCAGATGGTCAAGATGTGTAGAGCATGAAGTTGAAATAATCTCCACGTCTGTGCGCCAGGAATTGTTTACCATATTCACCTGACGGTGAATAGAAAATCCTCCTGGGAGGATAGCAGAGTCCAGAACAGACGGGTCAAGCCAGGTTATTGTAAGCGCCAGCATATTGGAGTTCTTGATGAAGCATTGCTCTCAGTTCATCCAGTTTATTGTCCAGTGACTGAACATTAGCAAGAAGTATACTTGGGAGTGGGGCACAATTGCTGCACTGCCTCAATCTCACCAGAACGCCTGCCCGTTTACCCCTCTTCCTGCGATGCCGTCTTCTTTCCAGTACAGGTACAGGTGAGATACCATAGTCCAGCTAGTCGGCAGTAGTTATTGGTGTAGATTTAACTGTGCCAATATTTGATCTTATGTCCATAAGTGTTTGTCGGTCATATCTAATAACCAAGCAAACGGTATGTGCAGTTAGCAGTATGAAAAACAACAAAAAATAAAGAAATTACGAATGGGAGCTCACAGGCTTTCCTACTGTAAATATCTACTGTAGATATTACTGTGTACAGCTGCTTCACAGGGTAGAATTGTCAACTTTATCCATTCTGAATGTTTCTGTATCTTTAGAGTTCAATTCAATTTATTTTATATAGCACCTTTCACAATAAGGTTGTCCCAAGGAAATTATACTGGATCCAGGACCAGAAAAGACCTGGAAATGTTAAACGTACATCATGTGTAGATGCTGTAGTGGAGACCTGTGTCACTGCATGTTCGCTGCAAAGGAACAAGTAAAGATGAAAAATAGAAAAGATCACTTGAAAAAGCCAAAATGTTTCTCCTTGATCTTTCAGTTTGGAACTAAGATTTACTTGTTTTAATATGGAGTGGGGACTCACCTGCAGTCCTGGGTGATTAGACTCTGGATCACATCAATCTCTCTCAACTCTAATCACCCAACATCCCACTCATCAAACCCATTGATTTGGGACTTTTTAGATGATTTTAAAACATTCTGTTGGTAGATTTTCTGTGTGACAGCGGATGGATTGAGCCTGAAATGTTTATAAATCATAGCTGTTTGTTCAGAGTGTTGATACACTTCACATTTGGAGAAAGTTTCAGCCACTGGATAAAGATACAGTAATCAAAAGTGGGTAGCGGGGTCAATGTCAACAGACACCTGAGGGAGTCCAGACATCTGGAGTAAGACAAAGGTGTCCTCTCCCACTTCTTCTCTATGTTCATTTTAAAGAGCCATTGGCAGAGGTGGTGAGACAGGGGAAGTCCTCGAGATCCCCCAGTACACAACACGACCCTGTTCCTGAGCTCGGACAGGGGGTTGCAGAGAGTGCTGTAAATTACAAAGTGGTACTCCAGGGCCTTGGGCTTGAAGCTAAATTGCTGAAAGAACAAGGTCAAGCCAGGCTGACGCACGCAATGGACAACCCTAAAAGTGTTAACACCTGGAGGGACTTAATGACATTTTGCAAAACTGATTAATAACAATCTCCCTTTTCAGGCTTCTTTAATTTTTGAATCGTTAACAATGGTATTGTTTAGAATTGTGTTTTTAGAAATGTATTCTTTGGAAGCATTGTATACATTGCTGGAATTAATTTTTTATAACAAAATAAGGGGATTCCTCATTGTCAGTGAAGTGTAGGTGTGCTATACAGCAGCGATGGATAGCAGGGAAAGGAGTTCAGTTCAGACTGAGAAGACTTGAGCAGCTTATTAAGGAGGTCTGAAAATAGCTGGAAGATGTTGCCTCCTTCAGCAACAAGGTGCCTGGTCTGCAAACCAAAGTGATGGTTTACAATTAACCTAGTAGGAAGAGAAAGATAGCACCCCCAGCTGGGCCAACAATTCTACTTCATATGCAACAGGCACCCAACAATCACCAAGTTTCTACACCCTGTTCACTTAGTACCCCCTTCTCTGTTTCATGTGCCAGCCCAGCGCTCAATCACAGGCGAAGGGGTTTCATTTTTCTCTGTGAGGGTTATTTGAAACTGGCCTTCAGCTCTTAAAAAGCTGCATGGATTTTGAACCCTGTGAGAATCACTGTCTTTCAGAGCTCCTGCCATCCATGTGCTCAAATGTGACAAATTGACAAACTCCTACCTGTACTTGTTTGACACAAACTGGTCACCTAGTCAGAAAAAAGGGAGACAAATCTTAATTAGATCAGTTACTGGCTGATGCCAGTGATTAACGGCCAAACCAAACCAGAGGACCAGAAACTCAGTAGACACAGGAGTCTGAGGACCACTGCACTGAAAATATTGCATCTCCCATATGAAAGGGTCTTCTTGAAACACAGTTCTTAAATACTCATTATTCAGACTTAACATACATGCAGATAAACATGCCAAAAAACAGTATTGAAAATTTGATATTTATTTTTACATAAAGTTGTTTTACAGTGCAAAAGCACACTCTCTGTTCTGCTTATAAATGAATCTGAACCCTGTAACAATCTTTTAGCAAAAACAGTGGATCTTGTCCTGCTTCACTGACCATATTAGATGGAAACACAGGCCTCTTTCTAGTAGCAGACACTAAACACACACAAACTCTTAAACCCCACACACTATGTGTGCTCAGTTACATACATTGACACACAAAACTCCCCAACAATGCCTTCTAGACGGATATAAGGTCCTTTCATGTCAGTCGTGTTGACGTTAATGTAACAAAGAGAGTGGTGACATCTGTAACATCCATATTACTAACAACATGAATAAAGGCGATGGGCGGAGCTCCGGCATGGTCAGGTGACCCAGTTTCTTTGATTGGCAAATGGATTCTCCACACAGGTGGACAGGACAGGTATCAAAGAGTGAAGTGGGGGGGAACCCCTCCAGGTGGATGTGTCATATGTGCCATTTTAACACAGGTCACGATTGGTCTGCTTGAGAGCTGTAAGGGCAGTATTTCTTTCAGAAGGCGTAGATCTTATCTCTTTGAACACAGTCCAAGTCATCATCAAGAGTAAGAAGAACCTGAAGCACAGAGAGAGCAGGGTTAGGGTTAGTCTACATACTGAGTTATTGGGCACTAGAGAGAGTACAGCAACAGCACACTGAGAGACAGATGATGAAGCGTGAGAATCCATACATGCACAAAAGCAAAGGAAAGGCAGAGCTAATTCTGGTGGCTTAGCATTCTTCAAGATTGTGAGCCGCATGGTTGATAAGTCTGCTCCAAACATTCAAAACACTGTGTAAAGAAGAGTTTCTCCCTACTATTTTCATTTCCATTATTCTTCTATCAACTATTTTTAAGGCTATCATATCCTTTTTGTGCTGATCAGAAGACTTGTAGTCTGACTTGCAAAATTCATAAAAAAGTACTGATTCGCAAAATACTTTGCAAATACACCTAGTGTCCACTGCTCGATGCTTTGCAAATACTACATTTTCTGCCTCATCTTAACTTTGCAACACATTTTTTCCCACAATCAAGAGAGGTTTCATATCCAGCATCACACTCTCTGCAGCATGCCTGCCACTACACCTTCTCCCTGCATGCCTGTTTTTGTTGGTTGTCCTCTTTCTAGTTTCTCACAACTTGACAATGCATGACGTCGTAAATGTATGTAACTGCATTTTAAACCTGCCACCTGTCTTCTAGATCGCATTATTTCTGTTTTATTTCAGTCCTGGTTTCCAGCCTTCTGCCCTGGAAGAAGGGCACAACAAATGAGCACTGGAGTGGTACCAAATCCCTTTAAAACAGCTTCAGTTGTTAAAAGAGTTGGAGAAGAAACAAAAACAGCATTGAAAAACCATGCAAAAAATAAAAAAGATTTGAAACAAAATAGATGTCTTATATACAAAGGAAATTTTAAAAAAGTTATATTTACTAGACAATTTATTATGAGTCAGGATCAATATCACTAAAGCTGTTGGCAAGAAAATTAAAAAAAACAACAGGACGATAATACAATATATAAAATAAGGGACCAGAACTGTAATGGTGTATTATATAAATAGGAGGAAATCCAATATACTTTAACAAAGTATTACAGAAAGTGAAGAAAAGATGGATGCTTTTTTGGAATCTCTCAGTTTAACAACTCTTACGGAAGATCAAAATAATATATTAAAAGCGATTATAACACCTGAAGAATTGAAGTTAGTGATTAGCCTCAGAGCTAATAAATCACCTGGTACTGATGGTTTTAATTCAGAATGGTATAAAACCTTCTGAGCAGAATACCAAATCTTCTTTCTGTTTGTAACTCAGCATTAATTGATGGAAAAATGCCATCAGAGAGATGCCATCATCTCAGTTATCCCTAAGATAGATTGGATTGTGGATCGTTCAGACCAGTCTCAGTCCTTAATGTGGATTATAAAATATATACAGCAATACTGGCTAAACAAATCAAAAAGATTAATTTGATACACTATGTTCAAACAGGGTTTATTCAAGATGGACAAACCCATGATAACATTTGACGCACACTGCATATCATGAACCCTATGAGCCTAGATGCTGAGAAAGGTTTTGATTCTGTTAGTTGGAAATACCTCTATAGGGTCTTAGGTAGGTTTGGTTTAATGTGAAAATATTATCAAAGCTATTTAAACCTTATATGACCAACAGCACGAATTAAAATAAATGGTTATTTATCTGATAGTATAACTTTAGAATGAGGGACTAGACAAGGGTGCCCTTTGTCTCCATTGCTCTTTGCTCAATATAAAGAGCCACTAGCCCAGTCAGTATGACAAAATAGCAAAATAAAAGGTATTTCTATACAAGGGAATGAACACAAGATAGCACTGTATGCAGATGATGTTTTGTTATATCTGGAGGATCTCACTAGTTCATTTCCAGAACTAATGAAACTCTGATAACTTTGGCTTGCTGGCAGTCTTTAAGTTAAATGTTCAAAGAACACAAATTCTAACCTTTAATTACAACCCTCCTGATTTTTTCCAAAGTTCAATGAGATATCTAGGAGTTTATTTACCAAAAGATATTTCTACATTAGCAACAATTAATTATGGACCCCTTATAATTACAATTAAAGCAGATAAACCAAAATGGAACCTAATCCCCTTTATGAGTTTTAGTTCTAAAATTGAATCTGTAAAAAGAAATCTACTCCCCCGATTACTCTTCCTATTTCAAGCTCTCCCTGTAGAGGTCACTGCAAAACAATTTTCAGAATGGGATAAGATGATTTCTAGGTTTATTTGGCAGGGGAGAAAATCTAGAATTAGATTCAAAACATTGAAACTTTCAAAAGATAAAGGTGGAATGGCTTTACCAAATTTGAAAATTATTATTATGCATCTCACAATTAACCTCTCATTAATTCTTGTAATCCAGACTATCTAGCCAGGTGGAAAGATATTGAATTATCCCTTGTAAATAACACCCCCCAATTCAAGCATTATTAGGTAATAGGAATTTAGACAAAATTACGGAAAAAATATTCAATCCATGGATAAAGTTCAAACTAAGGACATGGAATACAATTCCAAAAGAGTATCACTTAGGTGAGGCAGTAAAGATACTCAGATGGTGCACCTATGATACAGTGGATAATAGATTTAAAATTTGGGTCACAAAAGGAATACCTGCATTTTGTAACATAATGGATAAGAATCAGTTACAAAGTTTTCAGTCTTTAAAGGAGAAACACTATTTGGGGAATTCAGATTTTTATAGATATCTTCAAATGTGCCACTATTTTAAAAATGAGATTATAACGGGAGATTTAGATATTAACAACAACAACAACAACAACAACAACAACATGGGATAGTGAAAGTAATTACAGAAGCCTACAAATCAGAATTAAGTAAAGGCATTATATCTAGATTATATAAAGGTTTTATGATAAATAAATCATATTCTACAGAGTATATAAAAGAAAAATGGGTGAAAGTGAAGTTAGAATTTCAAATGAAGAGTGGCTTAAACTTGGTGAATTTCAATGGAGATGTACTAACTCGCATTTATGGAGAGAGTTTTGCTGTAAAAACATTGTTCGATTTTTCATTACTCCGTGTCAGAAGGCACACCTAGATGGGAAAACTCTAAATGTTGTAGATGTGCGGAAACCAAGGTGATCATTGGCATATATATTCTGGAACTGCCTAAAATAAGGCTTTTCTGGAAGGAGTTACATGAGGTCCTGGAAACTATATTTGAAAGGAATGTACCCTTTACATTTGAGGCTTTATATTTTGGCAAACTGGATTTTGATTGGAGGGGAACTGATGAATATTTGTTTGGAATCCTTATATCAGCAGGGAAGAAAGCTATATCAAGGAAGTGGCTTCTCCCAGATTTACCAACAATGAATGATTGGATTGAATTAATAAAGGAAATATATATAATGGAAAAATTAACATTTTCACTAAAATTACAAATGTATAAATCTGTCAGATACTGGTATAGATGGGTTCAATACATTAAACCTTTAAGGTCTGAATTTGTTGAGATACAAAATAACTGCAGCTTATTGTCTGTATCTGTGTCTTGTCTGTGTCTCCATGGAGAAAAGCTGGGGTATGCGAAAAGACGAATTCCTAATGCAAGAAATTGTTTAGGGCTAATAAAGAAACATTATTAATAAGGTACATTTAGTCTCCTCCCTTTTCATATTCATAAAAGTATACATCTTCCTCATGTTGAATGTATATAGTTTTGTTTAAAAGTTATATCATTGTAAAATACTAAGGGAACAAACAGGAATAGACCATTTTTACTTGTGATGTATAGTCGAAAGTGTATTGTAAAAGTAAGGCTGAGTAATGCTGATTATTTGTAAAATGGTTTTGTTTAGTTCTCTAAAATAAAAAAAAATAAAATGGTTTCAGTTATGCTTATGCCTAAAAAACAACCTAACCTCTGGACAACCAAAACAACATCTTTTATTTAACTTGCCATTTTCTGAGAAAATGTAAGAACATGTTAAAGACAATTTTGTTAAAGAAAATTTAACAATGACCTCATTACAAACGGCCCGATTTAAGCCCTCCAATCAGGTTTCAGACAATGACACAGCACAGACACTGCCCTTGTTGAAGTTCCGAACAATCTGACATCATGCAGTGTCACTTATTACCTTCTCTAGTCTTGGAATCCCTGAGTGATGCAAAATTCCCTTCATGTGAGAATAGTGAGGTCGTGCTACTCAGCCACCACCCATCACCTACACAAAACCACTGCAGTAGCCTTATCTGTGGACAGCACTGTGCTTGAATTTCAATCCATCTTAAACGCTCAAATCTTATCTTACTGTTCGTACACACTTTGTTTCTCTTGGGGGTTTTAATTCTGAAATTGGGTTTAAGTATGATGTCCCATAAAGCTATTCAGCATTTATATATTCCCACTTGATCAGATAATAAAATCGCACACGGCATAAAATCTGAATGATCATTTCTATGCCAAAGATACTCGAATCCGTTTCCCTACTCAACCCAAAACTGAAGTAGCTGTCTTTGCACTAATTCCATCTCTTATATAAAAACCTGGATGAAGCAAAATTCCCTTCATTTAAAACTGTGAATACTGGTAGTACTACTCAGTACCTCCCATATCCTACACAAAACCACTGCAGTACCCTTGTTTGTGGACAGTACTGGGGTGAATACTTATGCATTCAATTATTTTCTGTTTTTTATTTTTAATTAATTTAAGTAAAATGTCTGGATTTGTTTTCACATTATAGAGTACTTTGTTGATGAGTGACACAAATTCTCAGTTAAGTACATCACAGTTCCATGCTGTAACAATAAAATGTGAAAAAGTCCAAGGTAGAATTCTATAGCTGTACATAGTTTGGCACCTCAGTACCTATCCGACTTATCTTCCTACTTCACAACCTTTGTCTGTCACTAGTCTTCTAGTTGTCCTCAAGCTCGTTTATATTCTATCAATGACAAGGCCTTCTCTTGTTATGTCCCCAAAGATACTACCTGCAATTAAATTTAGACTCAAAATATTTCTTTTCAGAAAGGCTTTAAATTAGTGTCTTTGCCTGCTCCATTTTCTAATGACCATGTATCTTCTCCTGCACCGATTCTTGCATGTGCTTATTTTGTCAATTCTAATCCTTATAATTGTTTAAGTCAAGTCATAAAGCGTTGTAAATAAAATGTGCAGATGGCATTAAATTCACATTAGAACCACGTTACATACTTCATCAAGGATTGTTTTACTTAAAATTTGCATATTAAATCAATTTTCACCTTGAAATTGAAAATGATGAAATGGGGAGTAAGATGCATTGACAGATGACTGCACGTTAACATTTGACTGAGAAAGAGATGTTCATACAGACACTGAAAGAATCGTGAGTAGAGGTACTGAGGGGAATGAGAAAATGTGTTCTAAATCCAGATGGACCAGAAGGTGTTCAAGCACACAGAGAGACGGAGAGGAGTGAAGCACTATGCCCCCAGCTTAGTCGTCTGTGAAAAGGTACCAACTGACCAGGAATGAGCCAAACATGGCAATAGATGACAGGAAGTGCCAGATATCATGGTCGTCAAAGAAGCTGAGCAGAATACAATCGCGATTGTGTTCCCGAGACTCTGCTGGCGTTTTCTACACAGCGGGGGAGAGACAGAGAGAGAGTTAACACAGATATACTGATTTGGCCTTACAGTACCTTCTGCATATGACTCAGAGCCATTTCTTTTAAGTCCTGTATTGACTTGTTCGTATCACCTGCATTTCTAACGGTGCATAACATAAAGTGATTTTACTGCCTACACAATCGCCATCTGATTACTGGCTGTAAAGCATCTTACTTATGGACAGTGAGACACTTATGTTGTGTGAACACTGCCGTGTCTCAGTCCAATTAGGTAGGAAAGAGCATGGGGGCACATAATTGGGATTTGAGGAGCCTGTGTTTGCCTGTGTTACTGACCTGCCAGGTACTGAGACCCTGGAAGAAGAAGAAGAGTGCGAAGCCCCAGACCACTGCAGTGAAGAAGATGCACACCAGCGCCATCAGCTTGATCCGCTCACCACTGCGGAGCTGAAGAGCAGAGACACGTGTGACCCACAAATCCGACGCACGCTGGCCCACGAGTGACGCGGGAATCTTGACACTGACTGTCGCACTGTGCACTCTTGGTAGCACGGGTATTAGCTCTCACCTTCATGATGATGTAGAAGGCGAAGTAGAGCAGCAGGTTGCAGATGGCGATGGCCAAGAGGTAGGAGGCAAAGTCATTGGGTCTCACGATCAGCCCATAGGCAGCACTGCAACACACAGAAGACCACAGCCCTCAATACACTGGCACCACAATGAAGAGAAGACCACAGCCTTTGACACAGGGACATCACAGCACACAGAAGACCATCTGCTAAGGTTAATTTTGAGTTATGACTGGAAATGGATTGGTATACAATTACAGCTTTTCTAGAATCTGCATTTGAGATGTTTATGTTTTTGCCTATACCCCTTCTCTTTCTATACAGTGGATATACAAAGTCTACACACCCTTATTGAAATTGCAGGTTTTTGTGATGTAAAGCCAGAAATCAAGATAAATCATGTCAGACATGTTTTCCATGTGACCTTGCAACCAACAAAATTCAAGAGAAAAACAGATAATTATGAGGAACAATAATTGAAATAAAAAAAACCTGCAACACCCTGGTTGCATAGGTGTGCACACCCCCCCCAACTAATACTTTGTGGAAGAACCATTGGCATTTATTACAGCAGTAAGTCTTTTTGAATCAACTTTGCACACTTGGACTTTGCAATTTTATCCCATTCTTCCTTGCAAAAAAGTTCAAGCTCCTTAAAATTGCCAGGGGATCTCCTGTGCACACCACTCCTTAGGTCATTCCACAGGTTTTCAATGGGATTGAGGTTTGCGCTCTGACATTTTGTACCATTCCAAGACTTTGATCTTCCTTTTCTGAAGCCTTTCCTTGCTTTGGGTCGTTATGTTGAAATTTGAAATTCTTCTTCAGGCCAGATATTTGGAGCTAGTCATTATCCCATCTATCTTGACTAGAGCCCATGTCCCAGCTGAAGAGAAGCAGCCCCAAAGCATGATGCTGCCACCACCATGCTTCACAGTAGGTAAGGTGTTCTTTGGATGATGGGCTGTGTTGTCTTTGCTCCAAACATATCTTTTAGAATTAAGGACAAAAAGTTCAACCTTTGCCTCATCAGACCATAAGACATTTTCCCACATGGTTTGGGGTGACTGAATGTATTTTTTTGCAAAATGTAGACAGGCTTGGATGTTCTTTTTTGTGAAAAATGGCTTCCGTCTTGGCACCCTACCCAATAGCCCAGACATGCAGAATATAGGAGAGTGTTGTCACATGCAAGGAGTGACCAGTACCTGCCAGAAATTCCTGCAGCTCCTTTAATGTTGCTGTAGGCCTCTTGGTAGCCTCCCTGATAAGTTTTCTCCTTGTCCTGTCCTCAACTTTGGAGGGTCGTCCAGATCTTGGCAATGTCCCTTTGGTGCCACATTTTCTCCACTTATTGATGATAGTCTTCACAGTGCTCCATGGTACATCCAATGCCTTTGATATTCTTTTATACCCCTCTCCTGATCGGTACCTTTCAACAATAAGATCCCGTACAGGTTTTATCAGCTCCTTGTGGGCCATGGCTATCCCAGTAGGATGCAACCACAAATGTTCCAAGGAAATCCTACAGGAACAGCTGATTTTTATTTGGGGTTAGTCAGAATCACTTTCACTGATGGCAGGTGTATGCTACTTACCTTTGGACATGATTTTTATTATTATTTGAAATGTGACTGGTTAACTCTGAACACAGCTACTGCCCCCATTATAAAAGGGTGTGCACACTTATGCAACCAGGGTGTTGCAGGTTTTTTTATTCCAATTATTTTTATAATTATCTATTTGGTTGCAAGGTCACATTTAAGATGGAAAAAATGTCTGACATGATTTATCTTGATTTCTAGCTTAACATCACAAAAATCTGCAATTTTAATAAGGGTGTGTAGACTTTTTATATCCACTGTACAGATATACAGATAGTATACCCCTTCTCTCACTGCCAGCACACAGAACCCCTGAGCTCCTATACCAAATACTCACAGAGACCAGTTGACAATGTTCCCCATCACCAGTAGCACCATACGGTCCTGTAACAGATGAAGGGGAAGAAATAGGAAATGAGAGAGAGGCAGCTTCACCTGAGGATCATGCAGAACAACAGTCTACACAATAACAGAAACAGAACTGACTTCTACTTGCAGTGGTGCAGCATGGAGGGAGATCATATAGAGCAAAAGATGCAAGTGGACCTCACACGGCCTACATCAATAGGACAATGCTTTTTACAAAAAAAATTGGTTTAAAAAAATTGAAGCTACAATACAAAATAGCACTCCCAACAGATTTCCAGATTGAAGTACAGAAGACTAGACATGTACATATATACTTGTAGATGTGTAATGCTTTATTTATTGTGTGGGTCTTATTGTTTGTTCGGTGGGGAAGGAAGGAGAAATCTTAGTTAAGGCTGAAGGTCACTTTTCAAAGTAGATATAACTGATCGGCTGCCTGCCTGTTCCCTTAAACACCTTGCACCAGAGAGGAGCTAGTGTGGTAAGGTGCTTGTGGCCAGAACTATTTTCTCTCAAGGAACAGGTAAAGGTCTATTTCATGCTGAAAAGAAAGAAAAAAAAGAGACAATGATTTGCCTGTGGAGCCTTCTTCAGGTGTGAGGGAGAGAGGAAAACTGGCAGCTGATGAAGCATGGGAGAACAAGAGGGAGCAGTGAAGAGGAGGTGGGGAGCAGGGGAGAAGGAGTACTGACACTTAGGGAGAACTGGAAGAGAGGTGTGAAGTCAAAACCTGCAAATGAATAAAGAGGATTAGAAGCAGATGAGTCTCTTGTTAAGGGAAGAGGGAAGGTGTGATCCTAGTTTCAGGATAATTTTGGTTTTGGATGTCTTCGTGCAATCAGATTTCCAAAACCCCTCCTTGAGTATGCAGACAGAGAGAGACCAGTATGATCATGGCCATTAGAGGTGAAAAGAGAAACTATGGGCTTGGAGAGATCTCTGATCCTTGTAAAGGTCTCCCAGTCTCCTTCCTGTCTCGCCTATGAAAACAGTTCGCAATTTTCTGCTAGCGACGCAGTAAATACGTTTGCTGGAAATACACAATGTCATCTGGATGAACCGGAATTGTCCAGAAGGGCCTTGAATGTGTGTGGTATTGGATATACTGTATATTTACAGGTGATACAGCAAGTTCTGTTGCAGGGAAAAGTGCCTGGTGTCAGTCATTGCTGTGGGCAGTCAAGGGAGCTATGAACAAGAGGTTTACGCAGATCATGTCGTCTCTCTTTTTTTCTTTTCAGCATGAAATAAACCTTACCCTGTTCCTTTGCAGCCTATGCATGCTGATGCACCTACCTACTTGAACCTCTATTCTATTTTAGACCTTAAACTTCTATTTTTCTCAGTGTGGCAGAGATGAGATTTAAGTTGTTCTGTTCACTGAAGCGCTATTCTGGTGAGTGTGCTGTATGGACTGTGACTGAAACAGATTCCTTCTCTCATTCTGTTCTCTGTAGAAGGTGTGATCAAGTTGTGATGAACAGGGAAGTACTCACAATATACATGGGTCCACTGCACTGGCGTATACAGTCTGTGTACACGACATACAACATCCTGCGAACTACCCCCGAGTCTGAAACACACACACATCATTACAAACCCAGAGACTGGACACACACACTAAATACAGCATCCTGCGCATCGCACCTAAGTCTGAAACACACACAGTGTTACATTTCCAGATACTAGACTACATACAGCATCCTGCACAATACCCTTGAGCCTGAAACACACACAGCGTCACACACCCAGAGACTGGATATACACAGCATTGCACACTGGGAGAATGGACATACACAATTACAATACTACAGTATTAACACCATTATTAACATCAATGCATTAATAATATTATTATAATGAAGCATGAAGAGCTTTAGAATTCAATCCATAGAACAGCATCTGAAGAATGTCAGCAGTTTTAATTTTATGTTGTGTAATTACAGATGCTGTTCTATGGATTGAGTTCTAAAGCTCTTCATTTCATTCTTGTGTATAGAACTCCAGTTCTGTGAAGATAAAATTTAGTTTTGAAGTATTAAATTGGTCCTGTGCTACTGGCTGAACTGTCATGTAATTGTAATAACAATAATAATTGTAATAAAGTACAACAGTTAATACCAGCATGTTAACACTGACTGAGTTGCTTTTTCTAATCTAGTCTATATGACCATAGCCAAAGGGCTAAAATAATACATTTCATAGGTAGGTCAAACACAGATCTCAAGATCACATTTAACAATCACATAAAATTATAGCCAGCCTGTCAAAAGATCTTTCTGCTGCTTATTAGGTAGTCTCTCTGACTGCACTCAAAATCTTTAAATTAAGGCCCTATCTTAAAGGGAGATTTCTGTTTTGGCTTAGGAGCTGCAGGTGCGCCTATCTATTGGAATAGGTATCTTGAAGGTCTCGTGAAGGGTGTCTACAGCTTGATGTAGCCTAGCTTGACTTGTGTGCATCTGGCAACGGGGAGGTGCCATACCCAGCCTCCAGCGGCCCATGTAGTACAGCTGTATGCTGAGCAGCAGGGTGGCCAGGATGTGGATGACGGAGAACACAATCCAGAACACAGTGTTGCCTTTCCCGAACACCTGAGACAGAGACGGGGGGCACAGACCCACAGAATGGGTGACATAGAAGGATGTAAACATACACAGCCTGAGACTTAATAGTACTCCGAGATAAAAAAAAACTACAATATCTTTAGAAACATTAGCTCCAGATTATCAGTAGAAATAACAGTAAAGAATCGTGTGTCAGAGCTCTGCACATTCTGTGGGATATCTGGGATGTGCTCGAGGAATGAAAAGTGTGTGTTTGCCCAGTAGACATTTGTAGTGTGTTAGAGAAGTGCAGGCAGGTGTGACCAGTGCAAGTGGTTGTATAAAGTGCAGGTGGGAGTGAACAGCAAAGGGTGAATACAGTGTAAAGTATAGCGTAGGGTGTGTACAGTCTCAGTGCAGGGTGTACAAATCCATTTACAGTGTGAACAGTCTCTGTGCAGGATGTACAGTGTAAGTGGGTGTGTACAGTTTCACTCACCACACCCAGCACAGAGAAGAAGATGACTGCGGCCAGGCAGGCATAGGCAGTGTAGGCGCTGGCATTGATATCAGGGTGTCTCTTCTGGTACAGCTTCAGCATGCAGAGCCCCGCGATCATGTACATGAAAGAAGTGTCTGACCAGTAGGATGAAGACAGAAATATACATCAGCAGGACAACTAACAGAGGACACAAACACAATCCTGCCGTGTAGGACTTCGGTGAAAACATTATTATTTTACTATTGTAGCATAAAAACACAAGAAATGGAAAAAGTAAATAGAAAATCCCCAAATATGTTCCAAACCACATAGTTTCCCTCCCAAAACAAGGACACGTCAGTACCTGCTGGTGGAGGAAGTACAATAACATAGGGGACACTCACCAAACTGGAAGTTAGTATAATTGGGACAGACATGATAGCAGGCACTCAGGAGCCCCTCCATCATGAGTGCAGTGCCCATGGCATAGAACAGTCCAAAGTGCTTGGGGATCCCACACTCCTACACACAGAGAGGAGGTTAACCAGGTCAGATGTCAATAAGACATTTCACCACTTACTGGCAAATAGCTTGCTACCCTAATGTTTCACTGCGTCAGTCTGCGTGTGACTGTTCCAGCCTGATCCGGGTGGTGGCAGTCATACTGGTCAGAGTGTACACTCACCAGCGCTGACAGCTCATTGCGCATCAGCGCCCTCTTGTGGAGAATGTCCCTCTGCAGGACAATAAGCAGGAAGAGCAGCCCCAGCATCACATAGCCAAGGTTACTGAGGATGTTATTGAAGGCACTGCAGAGACATCATATATGATATGTTACCAGACACACCATTCTTATCATGCACTGAAAACCTGCATAACATCTGGCTTTGGACAGTTGTCTTTAACTATTTGTTTTGTACTGTAAAGGTTTTGCAATACAGTTTGGACTTGTTTCTGCACATCCTGCACAGCAATATACTCAGGTATGCAGAGCAGGAACCACTGTCTCACCTCAGAGCTCCTAGGGGGTGTGCACACAGGAAGTTATAGTAGCAGATATCCTGATTCCCTGTCACATTCACCACCTGTCACAGAAAGCAAGGGACCTTTTCAGTGTAGCATGCGTAAGCACTTGCACAGTCTGAACACCGTATGAACTACAGTCTGAAATATGAGGACATTGCTCAAAAATGTCTCATTATATACAACAACACAAGAACAACATTCAGAAAACCAAGCGTCTTACCGTCTGATAGGTTATGACCAGCTGGACGACAGGCAATGCATAGAAGACTGCGATAGTGGCAATATTCCTGCAGAGACACCCACAGCATC